CCGAGCGGCCCAGGTTTCCAGCCGGGCCCTTTTCCCAGCTGGGCCCCAGCATGGCTGCCCCCAGGGCTGCGGGTCGGGAAGCCTCCGCGTTCTCGTTTCCCTGACAGTCCCGGCTTCTGTGCTCTCCTTCCCCTCCCCAGGCCACTCGAGCAGACATGTTTGCCAAGGCCTTTCGGGTCAAGTCCAACACGGCCATCAAGGGGTCGGACAGGTGAGGGAGAGAAGGGGCCGGACAGGTGAGGGAGAGGAGGGGCCTGCTCCGCCCGCCAGGGCACCCAGACATTTCTCAGTGCAGAGGCTGGCCCACTGCCTCTCTGAGCTAGCTCAGCCGACCTGGGGTGGAGGCCGAGGGAATGTCCAGCCGGGGAGCGGGGGTGGGTTAGACTCATTTTGAGGGCGAAGATGGAGAGCAGGCCTGGTTTGTCTCCCAGGCTATCTTTTGGATATTCTAGTTAGTTTAAAGGAAAACGTAATTCAGCCAGCGCTTACTGACTGCGGTCTACATAAGGTGTTGAGGGTTCAAACACGAAGGATTGCAGGGTCCCCGCCCTCCAAAGAGCTTCGAGTCCCTTAGGAAAAATCAGAGGGGCACCGAGAACTACAACTACGGGAGAAAAAGGATGTGGCGGTTACTTCTGGCAGGAGAGACAGATGGAGGGTGAAGTGGGAGAGAATTAAGGGCCACGTTTTAAGAACTGGGTCTGTTACGCAGTGTTGCAGATGCTGATACCACGTTGCGAATTTTGGAACCAGTGTTCTCTAGTCACTCTTGGTGCCCTCGTATAGCTTTTTAACCATAAACTGACAGATGCGCCAGGCAGATGTGAGGAAAGGGGTGGGTCCAAGGGCTAGGCATGGAGTCTGGAAGGTAGGGCTGGGTTTCTAGTCAGGCTAACCTGGTTACTCACTGGTTCTCAGTTGTCCTCTTTCTTTGTAAAACGGAAAGACTTGCCCCCAGGAATATGTGAAAATAGATGAGACATTGGATGAGAAAGAGAATAGGATGTTTTGGAAGAGTGTATGAGAATAGGGCATCATCAACCAGCTTTTCCTTGGCCCTTGTGATTTTATAGGAAGTCCTTCGGAGTCCTTCCTATGTATTACAATCCGTCCAGGCAGGACTCACGCCAGGTACTGGTTTGCTTTCTGCAGGAGAAAGCTTCGGGCTGATGTGACCACTGCTTTCCCCACTCTTGGAAGAGATCAGGTCCCTGCCTTAGTACCTGGAAAGGAAGAGCTCAACGTTGTGAAGTTGTATGCTCACAGAGGGGATGCAGTGACTGTGTACGTGTGTGGTGGTAACCCCATCCTATTTGAACTGGAGAAAAACCTGTATCCAACAGGTATGTCAATAGGATGGAGATGGCCATTACTATCATCCTTGCCTAACATCTGTTTCTCCTTCTTTCTTTCATTAAACTGCCTTACTTAAAACGTGAAGTGCAAAATCTCCCAATATCATCCCTAAGGATCTTTTTGGACCCAGTGTCCCTAGAATTGGGTCTTTCAAGATCAAGAACTGCTACAGGAGGGAGAATAACAGGGCTAACACAGGAAGAGGATAAGTTGGCAAGGGACGTTCTGAGATGAAGGAATAATAATTCATAGTGGGTTAAGTAGGGATGGAGCAGAGGTCTTGAAAAGGGTGGGATTTCAGGACATGTAAAAAATATTCTTAAAACTTCATTAGCAGGATTTTCTTAAGAAACTGAAGAGATACGGTGATAGGAAGGAAGCTAGGTTAATTAAACTACATACCCAGCTGTCTTACTGATGTACTTCAATCGAGATACCTCACAGGATTCTTTCTGAGGCTCTGCCCGGCTCTCAGGATCCTTTGCTTTCTCTCTTTGTCACAGATCTCAGACGTTCAGTGTCCTTTTCTCTTTT